ATTGTTTTGACAAATAATGATCCAATTTGATATTACCGGCCTGATGTCGCATTGGCTGATATACAGATGTGTTCATTCTTGTATCAAAAACCTACCAATAGCCTCGTAAATAGACAGTAACCATTTTCAGTGAATATATTGTGTAAAATAACTCTGTTTGATTTTACAGTTTTATAATTGTAACCGTAATTGACCACCCTGCTTTCTAGATACCAGCATCGGCCATTAAAAAACCCTATATTGGTTGACCGCTAATAAATATCAATTAGGACTTCCCTATCATATGGAGGATTTTTTTATTATACAATTGTGCCTTTGCTTTTGCTCAGTTGTTCTGTTGACAAGTGTGGCGGTCGATTTACTGCTCTAGTGGGTATGTCTGTGTAGTGTGTGTGTGTGTGTGTGTGTGTGTCCCTCTTTGTCAACATCTAACCTGTTGTATCTGCTCGTGTGGACAGGCTGTTCAGACATGTTAGCATGACTGGCTGCGATCTGCAGGTTGGGTTTACATGCTGTCCCAACGCCCCTGCTCACCCGGGTCTGTGTGGTGTGGACGGCTTCACGCTGATGGTCCCGCATTTCAGCTTATTGGGAACGGCAGGGTCCTCCTCACAGGCTGCTGACGGGGTCCCGTCCCTCTGAGATTGAGCTGAGCCGGAGAGGAGAGTCTTGACCTTGTTGTGAGGAGTTTACTAAATAAGACTAGAGGGTTTTTTTTAGGTTAGTTCTCCGGAGAGATGGATGAGAGCTTCCTGTGGAGACGTCTCAAGTATAGCAGTCAGGATTTTAATTTTTATATTTTTGGGCTTGGATTTGCTTCATTGGACAGATGGAGATGATGGTATGTTATTTTATTAATTTGAAGAGAGGGATCAGACTTGAACCTGTGTCAGCAGCGCGAGAACCAATGGTCAACATATCTGGAACATGTGTTTTAGGAGCTTTTCAATGCATTTAGACAGAAACCCAGGTATATGAATCTTCATGTCATTCTAAACCTGTTATTTTGTAGAAATGTATTGTTTTGCAGAATATCCTAATCGCTCTTTTCAATGCAGTACAGTACTATTTCTTTTGTAGAAATGTATTTTTTTGCAGAATATCCTAATCGCTCTTTTCAATGCAGTACAGTACTGCAGTGATGTCATTTTGTAGGCCAACCTTTAAGTTCGCTTCACCCTGGTTCCCTCGACAAAAACCCAATAGTATTTTTCCATTGGCTTTTGGATTATTACTGAAAATAAGCTCTGTGATAAAAAGTGTTCATGATTCTTTCACGTTTCGTTCATCAGCTGTAATCTTGACAAATCAGCACAACTTTTATGAATTTTGAATCCTAAATACAATCGCCTGAAGGAAAATCTTAACATAGCCTAGGCTATAAATGAACTATGCCTTAACATGCCTTAAACGTCACCACCATTAAGCTAAACCACTCTTTCAGCCTTTATTTAAAACATTTTTTCCTGAAAGTTTGAGTTAGAATACTTTGCAAGAGTGCAGGTATATACACAACAAGGCTTTAAAAGCGAACTAGCGAGTTATTAGAAGAGTTTCCTGTTTGTGTGATGACGTTTAACGTCCCCAACAACCTCTAGTCCCATTTAGCCCACTTTATAGCAACCACTCTTTTCAAGACAAATACAACTTTAGAAAAATAACTAGATGGTATTACTGATGTTTTTTTACGTGAAAATATCTTGTGACCTACAGACCATATTTCAGGCATTGAACCAAAAACCCATTCCAAAAACCTACTGACCTCAGGAAGATGAAACTGGAAGTGCTAAAATGCTAATTTTCATGATTGGCCTGCAAAAATACATCATACTTGCAGCACTCTATAAGGATGGGTCCTGTCCAGCAAAGACTTTATAAATGTCATAATAGTGACCTATGTGATTTAAATTCCTCCAAATACCTCCTCTGAAGCCAAACAATAGCCGAATATGACCAAATTGACATGTACATTTTTATTGGCTGAAAACCCGCAGCTCTCAAATCGTATTCGTGTGAGTTCAGATATGCTTTGACGTCGGCGAAGATCATCCTAAGGCTAATTTCTTGTCGCTGACATCAAAATTGGTGCAGAAGAAAGCCACATTTAGAACAACATGAAGGTGAATTTTCATATTTGTGGCGAACTGCTACTTTAATAATGTTAACGTGTTAATAAATGCATTTTTGTTCATTAACTTGGTCGGACAAACTAGATTAAGGGAAAATGCTCATAATTGTAGTTTATTTTAACATTTGCAAAGCCTTTACGGGGCCTGTCTTTGATTTATGAAGCGAGCAGCTTTGTAATTTTCCTTTTCGCTATGAAACTGTCCATCATTTTCCAGAACAAGAAGGTGAGTGCTTTGTAAAAGCAGCTTGAACTGCCTTCAAATGATGCAGCATCTTTAGCTCCCTCGCTATCTGTCTTTCTCATCACCGTCTTATGAACGATATCTCCACTAGCCACCCACAGAAAGCAGCCCAGTGCAGGAGGAGAGGAGAAGAGCTGTCTTAGCTTATCAGCATCAGGCCCTTTATTTACTTTATCTCTGTGGATTAGTTTTATTTGCTGCATAGCGCACTATCCGAGTGCTTGTGGAGAGCCCAACAAATGCACATGTCCACACTAATTGTACGCTTCTGTAGTAGTCTGAGGGCAGATATCCGCAGGCAGAATACTCCAATCAGAGCCGGCGCACGCTAACGGGGACGGCTGAGAACAAGGGGAAGTGTTTGTAAGGAAAAGCTAAAGGGAAGTGCAGAAAACGGAAACTAAAACGTATGCGTGTGTTGCTCATCAACCATTTTGTCCTTAGGAGGACACTTAATATTCAACAATATTATCGATTTGACCGAACTGACACTATTGGATGAGAACTGAACTGAGCTGGACGATGACATCACTGTTTTCTGCAGAGCTGCTTTATAGATGAAATGAACTAATTTAATAATTAATGATCTTTACAACGGAACTGAATCAACACTGAACTGAACTGACTTTAGCTGAATAATGACACTATTTTCTTCCTAGAGCTGCTGTACAGCCGAAATGAACACTATCCGCATCATTAAATCATTTTCCTGTTATCACTGTAAAGCTGCTTTGAAATATGTATTGTATAAAGCACTATAAATAAAGGTGACTTGTCTAGACTGAGTGATCAGAGTGATGTCAAACGTGATCTGTGCTGTGATTGGCCAGCCCTGGTTCTTTTAAAGATACATTATCACCAGATAAAGCATTGATAACTTGAATTAATTAACAAATTAATAACAAATTATACAACTACTATAAGTATATCCATTTATTCCACCTTACCGTTGACACATACAGTACACTCTCGTTAAGCAGTATATATAGCAAACCTCAAATGCTCGATTTGTTATATTGTCGAAAAATTGGATATATACTTTACCTGCGTACAGTATACTCGCATAATGCAATATATTATATAGCAAATGTCAGCTGTGTGATTGTTTACATTGTCACGTCACATGAATTTCTGTGAAGCTGCGTTGAAACTGTGTGTGTATTGTAAAAAGCGTGTGTATTTATTTTTATTTAAAAGACACGGATGGACATGGAAGGGAGAAACGTTTAATTTGAGTTGAATCAGGTGTAGATTAGGATATTGTTTAGTCCAAACAGATTGCTTATTTAATTAAAGCCGACTATTTTAAGAAGCTTTAACCGGACCTACTGTCAAAGTCGCCGTGGTTTAACCTTGTGTCGTCATGGTTTAGTTGAGGTTGGGTTGTACTGTGGCCGCTTTCCAGTTAATCATCAATATTGATGAGCATGTCGGTCTGTTCATTGGAACAAACACACCCTTGAGCTGTGTGTGTGTGAGTTTGTCAGGCTGGTTTTTTATGTGTCAAAAAGAGAGATATACAGACCCTGGTGTCATTCACAGTGTGTTTATGGACATCGGCTTACATAGATCTGTGAGTTAACATGGATTCAGCCTTCATATGTGATAATTCTTAGAAACAAAGAAATGATGCTTTCGCCCAAGTGAGCTGTGGAAATGACAGGCCCATCCTTCATACACACTCTCCTGCCGTATGTGGTAGACCCTCATTTTGACGCAGTGACGTATCGGGTCGTACCAAATAATGGGGTGTTCACTGGGTGTTCACAGGTATTTCTGTGTAGATACTATATAGCTGGGGAGGGGGTCTTCATTTGTCAATTTTGAACTAATATTCATTTTCATAATGTCATTTTAAGGAATATTCTGGGTTATTTACAATGTAACAGTGAAGTGTGTTGTGGCGCAGATAAAAAAAATTTAAAATCTGTTTGGGGTCGGTTCGATTTTGAAAAAGTTTTTTAAAGAAGACATTAAATAAAAACAGTAATATTGTGAATTGTATATTAAACATATGCATCCTTGCTGAATAATATTTACTTAAAAAATAGATTTAAAAAAACGTGCTGATCCCAAACACTTGATCAGTAATTTAAATGAAAAACAGACAAATTAAATTAAAAACACTTTTTTCTGTTCGCTGTTACTGGCCCAAACTGGACTGGCAGGGATGCTTAAATAAATATCAGTATTTTGTGGTTACATGAAACTGGGAAAAAACATTTAAAAAATGGCATACTTCACCTTTAAACTGTACAGATAGAATCTGTGGCATGCTGTTGATTAAAGAAAATTACAGTAATTTTGACTTCTCCCTCAGTTTTTACAAATCAGTGAAAGAAAAAAAATCATTTTTGAGATGGGGAGGAGGAACTGCTAATTATGTGTGTCCAAAGTAATTGCCACAGATACTGTCATGCTTTACAGTAATTTGTACTTGACCAGGAATATTCCTTTAATATTATGTGTGGATCCATGTAGTAATTAAATAATTAGTTCAGGACACTTCATTTAGAACCAATTTGTGTATAGGACACTCAACCCTACATGTCACGCTGCACAGCATACTGAAATTAGTGACGCCTGACTGGTGATTTTAATGGTGGTTTCTTTCTCTTTTCCATGCAGAGCTCAGGAATGGAGGAGACGGTTTGGGAGCAGTACACTGTGACTCTACAGCGGGTATGAAACTCTTTTACATGAACCTACTCAAACTAACCCACACCCTAGCTCAACCACTGCAGGTTTAAGAGTCGCATGTTTAGATATGTTGTAGAAAAGCGGCTCGGCAGTGAACAACAAATTTCATGTTTGTAACCAAAGAGGCCACATGCTGCACAGAGAGAGGATGGCCCTCTTAACAAAGCCCCTCTAACATATAACAATACCTGAGATGCCCTCAAGATCCAAACTCAGTGTGCTGGATCCAGGAGGACAATATTAGCTTTAGGATTATGATTATCTGATATGACTATTTTGTAACATTATAATTGTCTCAATGCCACTTTTGAGTATTTATTTATTTCTATAAAAAAAATCATACTGACCTAGCCTGGATGCCAGCCCAAACCCCGCCCACAACATTTTTTGGTCGTGAAGTTCGGTCTGGACTCGATCCATTGAGGAGTAATTATGATCGGTTCAGAATTAGTCGTGCCAATCAAATTGCCAGGGCGGGCTTTATACGATGATGGACAGATGATCTGCAGTTACGTAATCATCACGTTATCAAAGATCGCTTGGGTTGAACTGGTTTCCCTCAGAGATGACTGCAGCTGGAGAATTGAGATGTAGAGATTCCGCTATCGCGTCTGTTGTAAAAGAAATCGACAGCGCATTAATTTTAAAAGACGAACAGAGAACTGCAATCAAGGCATTTGTCGATCGGAAAGATGCGTTTGCCGTCCTTCCTACGGGATTCGGCAAAAGTTTATTTTATCAGCTGGCTCCGATGGTCGCTAAGAAGATGGGACGCAATGAAAACCCTGTGCTCGTTGTGGTTTCTTCTTTGGTCGCACTTATGGAGGAACAAGTAGCTAAAAGAAGCAACACTCATTATTTTACTACTTCTTCCAGTGTGCGTGTAGTTGAGTTCTGTTGACAACTATGCGTAGCTCAACATATGTTACTTACTGCGCTGCTCTGATTGGTTGTAGGTCTATCCTATTGAGTGCAGTGTTTTTTTTTTTCCTGGTTCGGTTAAGACACGCCTCATAATCAAAGCCCTATGGAGCAGTATCAGACTCACACTCTGACTAGAATACGAGTATGACAAAGTCAGGCTAATACTGACCCCAAACTTTAGAACAAAAGTGTATGTAGTCATTATTTAAAACAACAACCAAAAAAAACGAATGAACGAACGAAACGAAAAAACTATTGAATATGACATACACATTATTTTCCCTCTATTCTATTCTGTTATGGAAATACTGGAGGCTCACTCTTGTTATTTATTGCAATTCATTTTAGTAAATAAACAGTGTGATCAGTTTCTTGTTACCTTCATAATTATATCCAAATGGACATGTGCATGTATAACAGTGTTGTGTGTAACGCGTTACAAACGTTACAGTAACGTAACTACTTTTTCGGGTAAAAAGTAGTGTAACGCGTTACTACTGAAAATTTGGTAACGAAACGTAGTTCCTTTTTCAATTCCGCACAACGTTACTTTTCCCATGGACAGATTTGACAGCAACACTGTCTCCTCAGCTGCGCGCTTGCAATAGTCACAAGCTCCACATGGAACGTGACAGAGGCTGGTAGCAGAGCAATCAATTCTGTGAATTACACTGCGCAAACCAAAAGTAACACTCCCGCCGGATGAAGAAGGGTTGGCTCTCCACAGAACATAAAATATTAATTGTATTGCATTTTTCGTGTTCGCATTTATGAGGAAAGAAACAATGTTATGGACGTAACAGTTCTTCGGACTTGACCGCTCTGAAAGCGGCACTAAAAGACTGCTTTAAATCTTTCACAGAGACCTCAAACAGGCATTTAAAACACCAAATATTAAGGATTGGCATATCAAGCAAAATAATATTCGATGATTGCTCGAAAATCGTACCTCTACCCCCACATGCTTACAGTAAGACGGCGTTCGCTCAAATCCCGCTCCGATATTAAATTTCTCTGTATAGACCTGCGTGTTGTAGCCTAGTAATTAAAGAAAACGATTTAGTTTCATATTTTGTTTAAATAAAATAATTTATTTTTTAATTTCATCAATGTTGATTATATGAAAAGTGAAAAGCATGAGAGCATAAGATGCGGAATCGGGAGACAAATGGAGTGGGCAGACATGATTTTGACCACTTCATTAAGTTTGTTTTTGTAGAAAGCCTTTCTTTAAAGTGAATTTCGTTTTGTATTAATTGTATCTTAATTTTAATCAATGTTTCATCAACCAATTGTCTTTAATAAATAAGCAGTAAATATAGCAGGCAAGATAATCAGGACTTCTCAGGAGCTCCGTGCCGGCGCGTGGACTGAGCTCGTCTCATAAATGAACCGAAACTTAGCGCAAGCTACTTGCCTCAAAGATCTGAGAAATATATAGAAAGCTTGAAATGTGTACTTTAAAACAAAACTATTCAAAACGAGAGAAAACAGACTCTCTGTTTATGTAATCCATATGAAATGTGCATTTCTCTCTGGTGCGTTCACTACTGTGAAGATCGCGAGTCAGTATCGTCAACTTTATCTTTGCAGCCGACACTGACTGACAAAGAAAACACTTGTTTATTAATAAACAATTGAAATGTCTCCTTACTATATTTGATATTGGATATTCATAATCATTTCTTTTGCCGGTTCTTTGTGACATTTTTCATGAACGCGTCACCACCGCTCAATAGTTAATATTGTGCTTTGGTGTTCAGTTTATACAGGTTTTTCAAATGTTATGTAAATAAATATATTTTTTTTTCTATCTCAAAATCTCTCTTTTTTTCTAGTTTTTTTTCTAGTTTTTCGATAAGTAGAGTTCATAGTAGAATTTTATGTAGGCCTACACATTTAGGAACAGATATTGGGTTCTGCCCAAAGTCAAGCAACATAAAAGTAACGTAAAAGTAACGAGTAACATAACAAGTTACTTTCCAAAGGGGGTAACTAAGTAAAGTAACGGATTACTTTTTTAAGGAGTAACGAGAAAACACTACTTTTTAAAAGTAACTTCCCCAACACTGATGTATAAATGAACAGTAGATATCCCAAATAAGGTGTTTGCATGAGACATAATTGTCATATGCATGTAAACATGGACATTGTTACCAACAACTTATTAGCATCAAAACATTTTGTGCTTGTGTTCTCCTTGTAGAAATGCTTCAGCCTGTCAGATGAAGTTACCCCTCCCCCTCTCTCTTCCCATCTTGTCTTTCCTTCCTCCCATTCCTCTTTCCTCCAACATCATGCACAACAGGATGCGCATCTTTTATCTCCCGCGTGACAGATCGCAAGGGTTCACACACTACAAACACACACTGACACTATCACCACCATCACATATCAGACCTATCCTGGGAAAGCATCTCAGCTCTTTGACATGTCAGATCCCTGGGTTCAGATAAGAATTGTCTCGTCTTATCGCTAACATAAAAGGGAAGATATAAGCTTTTGGAAGTTTAAAAAAAACAGGATACTCAGAATGAGGACAAGTTTATATGGCGTATCATGACCTATAAGGGCTTGACAGTGCGAGCGATTTACTCGCATTTGCGACAAAAAGTGTGAAAAATGTATTTAGGAGCACATGTGAATTAAAAAAAAAGTCCCTGCGGTTCCTCCGTTTTATTCAATTTAAAGTCATAAAAAGTCTTAAATATCTTAAATGGTATAAGTAACATATTGATTATTTTTAAGAGGTCTTAATTTGGGGATGGAAAAACACGAATCGCAATGTGATTTATTAAATAAGAGGATTAAGCTGCATGTTTCAAAGTAGCAATGCGGCGCCGTTGCACGCTCTACAGCTCCCAGTCAGTGTAATTCATCAACAGTTCATCATAAGCATTAGCATTCTATTAGCATAAATGTGCAGTATTCAATGTTTACTTTATGGTGTTCATGTAATATGCTGTAGATGGCTGTAAGAGTGCATATTTTATCTCCTGCATCTTTTTTTGCATGAGCAGCCGGCAATAGTAAAGCATAGACATTTCAAAATAAGTCCCATTGCATTTTATTTTACAATTAAAAGTGCCACATTTTGCATAAGTTTTTTCCCTGGTTATTATTTCTAATTTCCTGGTTATTATTTTAAACTGTATCTGGCAATTAATTCAACTTAAATTTAGCTATTTTTTGTGGCACAATAATATGTTTACTTAGTATAAGTATATAAGTATTAGTATATATATATCCATTTATCTATATATACACAGTTTGAACTGTGTGTGTGTGTGTGTGTGTGTGTGTGTGTGTGTGTGTGTGTGTGTGTGTGTATATACACACACACAGTTTGACGTAGGCCTCTAAAATTATTACATAATTACTAAATACAGTTTGAAGCAGAAATATTTTAAAAAATATATTAATAGAATTAATATAGAATATTAATCTTATTATTATTCTAATGAAATAAGGAATTAAGGAATAATGCATTGTTTGTTCAATTGTGCCTCTAAAGGGTTTTTAATGTCCTCATAAATTTCAACTTGGGAATGTGCTCCTTGGGAGTTGGGAGCCCTGTCTATTTCATTATTTTGGTATATATTTACTCATGCCAGCAGTAATATTATATAAGCTTTTGGTTACCGCCTACCCCTAGAGTCAGTGTCAGTCTGTGCCATTACTTCACACTCTAAAATCTCGGTTCACTCGTTGCTGTCAGGTTTTATCTCCAGCTTTAATTGGGCCTGAATATATTTGGAGCAGATTGCCAGATCAAGCCAGCGATACCCACTCATTAGACTCTGTTTATTCAGCGCTCCTCTGAGGCAGGTACAGCAGGTTGGTATTTGGCTAAGCAATGAGGTGGAACCATGTCTCCATTAGCTTTAGCGTGCAATGGCTTTCTGCAAAACCGCACTGTGGTGGCAGTGGCACGCAGTCAACGTTTATGAGAGATTTATTTTAAGAGCGCACGGACGTGAGTGTGTAACACCGCTGGCCGTTTGCATGCTTCTAAGAAGCAATATTAAACAGTACTGCCTTGGGCAGACTAGCTGTGATGTATGACTATGGAAATGCGTTTGTGCTACTTTCACACTGAAAGTGATTTCTCTCTCTTTCTTTTGCAGGACTCTAAAATGGGCTTTGGAATTGCTGTGTCCGGCGGCCGGGACAATCCAAACGTGGAGAGCGGAGAGACGTCCATCATCGTGTCGGACGTGCTGCCAGGAGGACCAGCCGATGGACTGCTCTTGTACGCTTCACTCGCCTTACTAATGCATACGCGTTGAGCGTATTGGTAAACCATTATTTTACACCAGCATAGGCCGGTTAATAAGTATCGAGTTTTCACATAGAGCTTTTTAAAATGACATGAAATTAAAATTGACTCTGCTTACTGCCCTAATAAATGTCCTTGGTGTTATTGTGCGTGTTATATTGGTGCATGTTAATCCAAAGAGGAAAAAGTGTTGTTTTTCATAATCGTTTATCAATGTAATAACTTTATACATTTCAACAAACAGCTTATTTTCTGTTGATGTACTCAAGGCTGAGTAAAATTATATTAACCAATCATATCATAACCTACCTGTCACATTCCAGTCAAATACTGATGCATACAATTATGGCCTACATTATTTCACAGAATATTCACTTGGAAATACATCATATACCACATTATAGAAGTTACATTCATTGCCTATACCATATTTAGTCTTAAATGAGTGTTAAGTATTCCCATATGACTTTCTTTAACATGTTATTGAAATGGAAATAGTTTAAACATGATAATAAACATAAAACCCAATAATATTGTTAAATAGAATAGAATGTTGACATTTGTTTTGTTTTGCTTGTGGACAGTGAGAACGACCGTGTGATACAGGTCAACACCATCACCATGGATAATGTGCCTCATTCTTTTGCTGTGCAGTCACTTCGGAAATGTGGGAAAGTGGCCAAAATAGTGAGTATTTGTCAAGTTGACCTTTATGAGAGGCCTACTAAAACAAGTTACTTTGGTTATTAGCGTAGGTTAGCAGTGTCAGATGTTAACTTTTTATTTATTAAGTGTCAATATTTGCCTTTCAAGGTCTTATTTATTCCTTTTGAGGATTAAAAAAAAAAATGTTTTAACCCACCACTCATGTCAAATACATTAGTTTCAAAATTAATATGAATATCAATTAATATTCTATGAATTAAATATTACAGATGTTACCTATAAAATCCAATCAACATCAAATACAAATGTAATGTAAGATATAAATGTAATATCATAAATGCTTTACTCGGATACAATTTAAATATTTTAAATGTGTTTGTTCAATTATTTTTAAGACCTGAGTTTTATTATGAAGATAACAGATAAAAAACAAAATCTTTTTTTTATCCCCTACATTTTAAAAATGTTTGCCATTTTTGACAATTTTAGATTTCAATTTTGCAGTTTTGCCCCAAGCGCTGTTTAAGTTCTGTTTTAAAACTAATACACATGCAGCATTCAAATGAATGTACTGCAATCGATCCCTGCTTAAAGTAATTATCATATAGTAAGATCAATCTCTTATGTCCTTTTGATAACAGTGGGCTGATTGTAAAAAAGACTAATTTTATTCAATCGCTCCCCACAGACTGTAAAGAGGCCTCGCAAGGTGTCTGTCCTCAAGCGGCCCCCGTCCCCGAGTGTAGATAGCCGTGATTACAACATATCCAGCTATTATCCCGAGGACAACCGCAGTGTTCACAGTGACCCAGACTCTGATTACCCTCGGGGAAATGGCGGCTTGGGCTACCCCCGCGACAGAGAGCATGACCGCAGCCTCGACAAGAGCCGGATAGACTACCTGGATCCGGATTACCGCAGCCAGGACTACGACTCTCGGCGGGAACGAAGTAGAGGCAGGAGCACAGAGAGATCGCCCAGCTCTGACAGCGGCTACCGCAGGGACGGCAGTCGGGGCCGGACACTGGAGCGTGGATCCAGCCCGGAGCCTCGCTATCATAAGCAGCAAAGTAGAGGCCGCGGTGGAGGAGGAAGCCCTGCCGGAAGCTACGGGAGGGACCAGGGCTATGACACGCGGAGGTATGACACCCGTTCGGATGACAAGATGATTAGGAGTCACAGCAGGGACCGGCTGCAGGATCACTCACCTTCACCCAGCAAAGAGCGGGACAGAGGAAGAGACCTTCAAAACTATGAGCCCCTGGAGCCGCCCATCAATGTGATGCTGGTGAAAAACAGGCCCAATGAAGGTGAGAACCTCGGGTTTAGCTGGTCACTAATCGCATATTTTGAATATAACAGAGTTAGGTGACTGAAATGATTAAAAACTGTTTATTTTGAAATGGAAATCTTTTGTAACATTACAAATGTCTTTACTGTAACTTTTGATCAATTTAATGCATCCTTGCTGAATAAAAGTATTCAATTCTAAACTTCATCTTACTGACAGCAAACTTTAAAACGTATCTTTTTTTGTAGTCTATTAAAGGGGGGGGGGGGGGGGGGAGCCGTTTTTGAAATATGCTGTTGGCCAATGTTGATATTTAAAATCAACCCAAACAAACACACCCCTTATTCAATGCTTCTTCATGGGCATTATTAAAGGAAATACTCAATGTGAATCAATGTTTACAGTAAACATTGCTATAAATTTGTTGCAAGTTCATATTTTCTCATGTAAATGACCTTTGTGACAACTGTTTGTGGCAACTTTCTGGAAAGCAGTTCAACCATCCACAGGAATAAATTACATTTTAAAATATATTAAAATAGAAAACAAATATTTTTAAATTGTTACATTTCACAATATCATTGTTTTTATTGTATTTTAATCTATAAAAATAAACACAGCCTTAGTGAGCATAAGAGACTTCTTTTAAAAAATCGTACCAACCCCAAACAAACGGTAGTGTATATAGTCTTCATGTTCCTCTGTAAGGTCCAGTTTGGGAGATCCCATCCTTCAATAACAGCCTCTTTCCAAAGCTGCATTATATTCTGACATGTTCACCAAATAATCCATGCTAAAATGTGCCGCAAAACCGTAACAGCATATATTTTCATAGTTCATCAATCATTTTTATCTCAATAGTGTAAAATATGGCATATGATCCCTTTATAGGTGCAGAGCCTTTATTCCTGCAGTAGAGATCAGGTCAGATGCTGCGGAAATAACACACAACATAAAAAGACCATCTGAGCTCAGCTCACACATGTGAACAGGGCAGCTGGCTCTCTCTCTCTGTCCTATTGTAATTCTCCCATTTCTTTATTTCACTCTCATTCTGTTTTCTCCATACATCCATCCTAAATTTTTTTTGCCCTCAGTAGATTTTGATGATATTTTAATCTGATTTTTTTTTATGATGGCCCTGTCAGGAGATTTCAGAGGAGATACATTCTTGTGACTTCACATAAAGCGGTCCGTCTCTTCCGATTTCCTCACCAGCTGCTCATAACCCTCAGTTCAGAAGGGCAAAGCGGGGAGCGCTGTTTATTACCACATTATGCCTTGGGTTGGGAAACAGGAAACGTTTTTCTTTAGAACAATATTTAAACCAAAAAATGTTCATCATATTTAGTTCTGTTACCGGTTCTTGAGCGTTCAGAGCTCTGATTCTGCCTGTCAGATCAATATTCCATATTTTCAGCTGGAGGGATTGCTGAGTACTTAAAAGGGTCAAGGTCATCATGGTTGTTAGGTTCATGTTAGCGTTGCTGAACAGAACCAATGTTTCATTGTGCTTCGTTATAGAGTACGGCCTCCGGCTGGGCAGCCAGATCTTCATCAAAGAGATGACCGGCACTGGATTGGCTGCCAGAGATGGAAATCTCCAGGAGGGCGACATCATTCTCAAGGTTCCTATAAGACTCTTCACACAACAGCCATATTCACACATGAAATCTATAAAATTGCAAGAGCAACCCAGTAGCTTTCTGTGTTTAATATGTCATTGTTGATATTGTTAACTAGGACTAAATATATTAAAAATCAAGTTAATAAAATATAAATGTTAGATGAAAACCTTTAACTTAAAAAAAAACTTAAATGAAAAATAGAAATGTTGTCGTGACAACTAACTGAAATAAAATGTTTTAGTTCAAGTACTAAATTAGTAAAACTGAAATAAATTAAAGCTATATTGAAATATTAAAAAAGACTAACAAAAATGACAAAAGCATATAACAAAAAAACTCAAACTTAAATTACAATTAAACCTGGTTATGTAAAAATAAAAGCTAATTTACAATTGTATTTAAATACTATAATAGTAATACAGTAAATAAATAATACTAAAAAACTCTGCACATGGTTGCTGATGGCTAATATAATGTTGAAATTCATGATTTCACACGATTTAAAGACAATGACATACACACAATTTATGAAATTAACCTTTTTTATTATTTTACAGTGCATATTTAACTTAATTTTACTTAATATTTGCGTACCAAATTAACTGTAAAATAATAATGATATAATAATATATTTTAAATTTAATCTAGAATTTGACATTAATATTATTAGTAAATGCAGTGACAGTAGGAGATAATCAATAATTATAATTCATTTTTTTATCATGGAAAATATCTGCCGATTTATCAACTTTGTCAATATATGTATATATAGTTGGGCTGACTGTTCGCACACCTCCACCAAAAAGGCATTCAAAACTCAAGCCCTTTGACATCAGACTCAATGCTGTCATAGCATCCTAGCATTATAAAAGCTTGAACCATTAATGTTACATCTTTTGTTGTTTCCAGATCAACGGAACGGTGACCGAGAACCTCTCGCTGAGTGACGCCGGCAAGCTGATTGAGAAATCACGGGGCAAGCTGCAACTGGTGGTGCAAAGAGACCAGCGGCAGGTCCTGGTGCGCATCCCTGCCCTGGCAGACAGCGACTCGGAGCCTGACGGTAAGTTTCTTCTGTCATGCAGCATTTGTCCGTAGACTAGTCTCCATTACAGCGCTTCCTGAGCCGTGGTGCTCACCCTCTGGCTGTTTGCTCTCTAACGCCACACTTTAATTAAAAGCAGATAGCATGAATTGGCTCTGATAAATCAGATTAGTAATATCATGTACACATTCGCCAGGCGCTGAGGCTGTAATAAATTACAGTTAATTATGCAAATCACTATTAATAGACTCGAAATGAGTGTCGAAGCACAAAACCCAATTTGTCACCGTCTGTGTCGGAGCATGGTTATCATCCACTGGCACAATTTCAACTATATGCCATGGATTTAATAAGTCTGGTCCTCTACACAGAGGTGATACCGTTAATGCAGTCGGACATGGGTTATAAAACTTCCTCTGGCTGTATAGTTATAGATTGATAGTACAGTATATTTAACAGGAACACACAGTCATTTAGAAATTACAAGACTGTTTTGTTTTTAGCAAAGAGCTGAGATTTACTGACTCCATTTATACCTGCTATTATCATCTGTCTCGGATTATCTGAGCACTAGTGGACCACATCAGAGACAGTATAAGGAGACAACCCATTTGTAGAAAAATTAATGGGAGGAATCGCAACACTCAATATGGCAGCTGTGTTAAAGGAAGTCCCGCAGTTCTGATAAAAGATACAAAGGCTCCACGTATTACTTTTTTATTTCAGAAAGCACATACAAATAGTGTTGTTGTTGTTGTTTTTTGCATGATTTTTTAATTTAAATTATTTTTATTTTTTTTACTTTTAAAACATTGAGTGGTAGATCAGCTTTTAAACAAAATGTACATCAGATTGAAAAGTAGAAGCCATAACATATAATTTATTATAATTCACATACTGTATGCATTTTTTTAAACTCAAGAAAGTATATTTATTTTATAATTATATTGTTTATTATATTTTTTTATATTGCATTATTTTGTATGATTTTATATATATTTATTCAATTATTTAATCAATTTAAATGATAAACAAACTATTATAATAAATTGATTTAAAGAAAAAAAGTTATATATATATATATATATATATATATATTTTTTTTTTTTTAAGTGCATGGACATAAATGGATGTTAATAGCAGGTATCTAACCTTTCTATCAGATACATAGGCATCATTGTTTGCACTTAAACACAATGAATATTTTAACACCAGAAAGATGCGCTCACCTGAGAAAAAGCAAACAGCTTACAACAGAAATGCTATTTTTGTGTTCTCTTTTTACAGATAATACAGATATGTCATACTTTTAGCTGATGGACCGCTGAGACACAACATAAAGTCTGGTTGCCTTTAATCTTTAATCATGACTGTGCCTCAACAAACCTGTAAAACTTTCACACTGTGCTCTTATGTTTAATGCTAACCTCCTTTTTTTTAATACCTTCTTTAACAATAAATAAGTCTGCTCAATGTTATGTCTGTGTGGTGGTGACTTATTTATCATAAAGGAGAAACCGTGTCTGGGAGGATGACAGTCTCGCGGATGCTATTTCATACTCTTCAGCTGTTATTAGGGTGGGACAGCTGGATATCGTATGGCTTTTACAGATCTACCATCCTCAAGGTATTAAATGCAGGTGGAAGTAAATTTCAGCACAGAAAAAGCGTCCGCTTGTCAAGTGGGGCAGGGCAGAACAGCTAAATGCATTTGCATTCCATGTTTGCATTCATCGGCAGTGGAACATGAGTCACTGTATGCATTGTGTATGCTGCTTTGGGCTGGTTGGAGAAGTTAAATTGAGATGTGATTTACACCCTGCCATAAAAATGCAGCATGTACTGTTCATTGCCTCTTATGCACCATTGTGCACTACTTTTCATTTTGACTAGATGATGTGATAGCCGGCTTTCAGCTATTTCCTCATTTTAATTTTTCATTGTATTCAAGAAGCTGTGACTTTGTAGTGTAGCATGCTTGAACACGTTGAACTTTACTGTTGTAAATCAGCACTGTCCCCTGTGTCTTTATCTTCAATTAGTTTTGTATGCATTAGGATGTCACAGTCACCCCTGCATGTGTTTCATTGTTCTATGTAAATTCAGGGAATTGTGTTTAAAGACAACATGACGGCAATGGAATTCGCAACGCATTTGACTTCCATAATGCAGCATATTTCTATGTAAAACAGTATATTCAATGGGAAATTAATGTTGGGTGGGACTTGACTGTGTGCTGTGGGATTTGAATGAATTGCTATGGAGGAGGAGGTATTACATTTTTGAAAATTGTTATGAAAATATATTTTTTCTTTTTAGGAAATAAAATAAGGAGGGAAAAAGGCCATGTGTTACAAAAGTAAATAGTTAAATCTTTAATATGTTGTCTTTTAACACATCATGTACAGTGCAAGTGCCATTTGTTAATTCTCAGTCACTAGAAGGTCTGGGCGATATAATAGGGAATATTCATAATATATATATATATACCACTATTTTTATAATGTTTTATTATCATTTAATTTTTAAAACAATATAATCTATATATTTTTATATTATTTTATACTATTATAGTATACATATTATAAATACTACTAAATGTTAGTATTATTTATATAAAATATAATATCAAGAAATGTTATATATATATATATATATATATATGTAGTTACAATACTTAATGTTAGTTCTTAATGTTAGTTAAAATGAATCTTTGTTGTTTTTAATTAATAAAAACAAATTCATTGTTTGTTCATGTTAGCTCAGGTCCATTAAATATTAACAGATACAACTTTTGATTTCAATAATGTATTAGTAAATATTGAAATTAACATTAACTAAGATTAATAAATGCTTTAGAGGTATTTTTTGTTGTTAGTCCATCTGAAAACCTTATTGTAAAGTTTTACTCTATTGTATACACTCACAAATATATATAAAGTTTTTCCCCCAGAATATTGCAATATCGCCCAGCCCTAGGGTCTAGCTAGCCTTTGCATGTATGTGTGTGTGTTTGCTCTCTTTCATTCTCTCTGTTGCTCTGCACGTGTTGTCACAGTAGCGATGCGGACTAAATCCAGTCCTGGCCGTGCTGTTTTGGGTTGTAGTCAGGGAGTATACAGCTGCAGCTGTCTCTACTCTGTGGTCTGTCCTCCCCCTCGTAAGAGACAGACTGTAATTTCATCCCCACCCAACAGATGGAAACACGCCTGGAAAACACCAGCTCCCTGATCCTCCCTGATGTTCTCCCGAATCTGTGTTTACATGCGACTAATAATCCACAAATAATCTGACCAATAGCCCATCGGAATGAAAATCCTTCAAGTACAGAACAGGGAAAAACATCAATTTCAGCTTGATCTGAATAAATTAAGATATTGGGATCCTGCTTCTGACTTTCCGTTTAAATAAATTTAGCAACTTTTTTGGGGGGGGATAATTTTAGATGTGTTATAAAAGCAAAAAAAAAGCTAGATACACACTGAGGTGATATGCTGAATCTACCGGTACTTCTTTAATCCGCTGACAGAACTCGAAAGCTTCTTGTTCTCAAGATAACGTGACACTTAATGCCGCTCTTGAACGACATGCTCAGAAATTGAGTTTAGAACAAATGGAACATGTATGTAAACGTTTTAATTATGCTACCGATTTTAGGGAACACATGAACAGTACATTTGGAATCTGTCGTCGGATTGATTTTAATTTGGATCAAGGACAATTTGTGCATGTAAACATAGAGGATAAAAGTCACTCGTTTAATTTCACAAAAAAAGTAGCTTTTTAGCTCAAAATTAGTTTAGTTGTGTGTGTGCGTGTATAAAATACTATTTATTTTTTATATTTTAAATATTGGAGAATATTTTTTTTGTTGTTTTTTTAAATAAATATCACTTTTTTGTGTTTTGGTGGTTTTAAATATTCAAAAACCCTTAAACATTCTGATTATTTTCATGTTTAAATCAAATTTGAATCCCAGATTTCATTGTTGTTTCAGACTTTTTGACCCCACTGTAGTATCAAACATCTGTATCACTTGCAGATTTCTGCCCTTCCTCAGTAAAAAATGTTAGTTTTTTTTTTTTAATACTATATCTACAGCAGTGCTGGGATCATATTTGTGTCTGTTTACTCTGAGCTCTGAAGCAGGTGGGCGGAAGTGTCCTTTTGCTCTGTTACGGATGGAGTGTGTTGTAGATTTGCAGGACAGGCATGGCGTCCCGCCCACCAGCGGCGCTCAGAAGAGCGAGAGGAGTTCTGTTAATGCACTGGACATGCACTTAGATCACCAGCAGACCACACAGTAACTCTTTTCTTTTTCCCCGGCCGTCACTACTTCTGTCCTGCTTTCTCTTTCAGGGCGATGCTTCACTTTCCTTGCTCTGCGTCTTGGTGGTTTTACTTGTTATCAAATAATTATTAACTTCCCTGGACAATGTAGAGCTCTAAAATGAGAAATCATAGGAATAGTTCACCCTCATGTCGATATAAAAGACTTTTGAGAATATTTGGTCAGATATTTTCTATACAACAATTGTCACAATGATACAATAAAACATAAAGTAGTTCATACGAGTCAGACCAAGACTTAAATTGTTATTTAATGATAATCTGTTAATTGACTGACTGAACTAGTATTATAATGCATGATTCATTCACGAATCGGACTGATCAGGTTCTCCGTTGTTTCACTGACTCTGTGATTTGGTTGCAACGATTACTCAAAACTGAATGAGTAAAGACGTCTTCAAAATCTCTTTTCACTGAAGAAAGTCAGTCATACAGGTTTAGAATGACGTGAGGTTGAGTAAATGATGAAAGCATTTCCGTTTTTATTTATTTTCTATTTTTGGGGGGTGAACTGTTCCTTTTAACTATCAAAGTATCTTTAATGTATGCGAGCACTAGCTGCTTTTGCACACATCTCTGCTCTCCAAGGCAGTTGCTGTAGATGTCACTTCCTGTCTGTCCTTTTTCTCTACCTTTCTCAGGGTGTTCAGTTCCTAAAGATTAATCACGCCTGTCCAACACACTTTCTGCCTCTGTATAACACTGCTATTAGTCTCTTCATGAAAGCTTCATCAAATTCTGGACATTTGAGTCATGTCAGCATTGTAAATCACCACGATTTGGGTCAAAAAGGCATGGATATCCTGTGGTCAAAATCACAGAATACTGTATATAAAGAGAAATGATTGTTATAACGGGGCAGATCTTGGCAAATTAACACCAAGTCGACAGTAACATGGTGGTTCGTTCTCTGTGGTTGTGGGTCCATTTAATTCTGTCTCTTCTGGGCCTCGTCTCTTTTCTGTCCAGAACTAAAAGAAGGAAAGTCCTTCGCTTCTCATTGTAGACTTTTGTTTCTTTCAGATATTTCTGAGATGGAGTCTTACCATTCCTACTCACCTCAAGATGACCAAAGGTCACGTCAATCTGACCTTTCCTCACACTCTTCTAATGACGCAGCGCGAGAGAATGCCAGGTGCGCACAGCTTTAAGATCAGCTCTAGATATCTTCAACACACATGTGGTATCGATAATACAATAGCTCTAAAAAGTATTTGGCCATTTAAAGGGATAGTTCACCAAAACTAGAAAATTGGCTAACACAAAGATATTTTGTAAAAATGTCTCCTGTGTTTTTTATCCATGCAATGAAAGTCAAATCACCTTTATTCATATAGCACTTCATATAATACAGAGCTTCAAAATAATAAACTGGACGATAAGGATGCAAACTTCATACAGTATGAGATAAATTTCAATTCTGCTGTAAAGCAGAACTAAAAAGGCAATAGCACCATTAGTGTCATTAAGCGGTCCAATGTTGTTTGGGAACCAGCGTTTTTCTAAATGAATAATTGCATTTTCTGCAATTATATGAGTATATGAGTGTCACTAGGTGGCGATTTTTGATGTAGAGCCTCGATTTTTGTGATATCAACTTAGACATGGCTTTGATTTCATAGCAATTTTAGAGTCCAAATAATTAAAAAAATATATATATATTTTGAATAAAATGTTTAGTGCAGTACATTTTATGTAAGTTATTAAATTACAAAGCATCAAACAAAGTGGCTTTTTTTAAAGACAGTGCAAATGCACCTTTCAGTCAGAATATTTCACAAAGAGTTATTTGTTAGCTTAAGCAATTGTCTAATGTTAGTGGAATATGTATATTTTCAGTCAGAAACTGTCAGATTAAAACTGCGATTTATCTGTTGTTGTATTTATTTTTAGGGAGGACCCTCAGAGCAGACTTCCAAAGCCCGTTGTAACATCCTCTCCTTACAAAACTCCAGAGGAGCCGCTTCCAGTCCAGGAGGAGAGAGCAGAACCTCAGGAAGAAGAGCCGCCACCACCACGTAGGAACATGATTCTCTGTATATCCCTCATAGTTTGATAGTAGAAAAAGACCCAAACTTTTGGTTTATAGATGAATTATGGTTTGATACCTTCTGGCAGAGGATTAGCAATACTTGTCAGTTGTCAAATGAGAGTAAAATTGGCTTTGTTGACCAAATAAAACCAGACAAATGGTTGTCAGAAACGTTAGAAACTGCAGCATTACATACAGTAGGTTAAATGTTTTGAATATTAGTGATTCAAAAATCACCAAAACTCCTACAAAAGAAAACATCTGTCATTTCTTCTGACTTTTACCTCTGTGAAACCTTTACCATCAGAAGTTTATTTAGAATAACTAAATTTGTCACTAAAATTGTCACTAGTATGCAAAGAAAACTTCTACACAATTGCATTGTCATAAGAACATTATTTATGTATTTCATTTTGTTTTATCTTTTAAATAAAATGTATGCAAAATGCATGGTTCGTTCAAAAGTTTGGGGTCAGTAAGATTTTTTTTTGATTTTTTTGGGAGAAGTCTCTTATCCTCACCAAGACTGCATTTATTGTACCGTAGTGTATTTATGATTTTAATTTTCGGGTCTGTCTGCTTGCAGTTGTTTCAGAATTAAACTGATGCTAAATAATTTTTTATTCAATGTGCAGCAGTATTAAAGACAACACCCAAGATCCTGCTGAGACCGAGCCCAGAGGACGAGGCCATTTATGGGTGAGTGGATGCTGTGAATAACCCGCAGGTTCAATCCTCCTCACGCATGATCTTATTCACTGAACTAAGATCTTATTCACTAGCTATAAACCTGAGGACTCACTGAGGGCTGAGTTTAGATCTGTAGATAGGGCTGGAGTTCAGCCACCACACACTCATCTTACACACACACACACACACACACACACACACACATTAGTAGGGCTGCTCGATTATGGCAAAAATCATAATCACAATTATTTTGGTCAATATTGTAATCACGATTAATTTAACATGATTATGAGTGGGCGATATCACCAAAACCTTAGATGAGTCATTTATTTAACAATAGCCATATATATCACGTATCTATTTACTGGAAATAAGGTTGCTGTGATATCTAAATTTTAAAAACCAGTGCAATTTCACAATTCTTGATACTAATATTTCTCCACACATTCTATTTTCTCCCAACAGTTTTCTCCCAAAAGACATAACCGACTGGGTTTTATTTTTGCATGTATTTCACCATTTAGCCATTTAGGAACGGAATCAGGCATAATAATTGTTTTATTTCAATTATCGTATTTTCATAATCGCTGGAAGCCGAAATCGAACCTCAATTTCGATTAATCGCACTGCCCTACGCATTATACAGACCAACGCTCAGTGTTGTGCCTGAACGCGTTCATGAACTCGTTCATATTTTGGGCGAACGTGAACTGAACGTACTGTATTACTGCCTGATGAACGTTACTGTGAACGCGTTCGTTCTGGTGTCTGTGAACGCACGCTCTCTCAGTTTAACTTCGTTCAATAGGGTGCCAGATTTATATAGAGCCTTCCAGGCGAAAACCCGGCTAAAACACACGTAAACAGGCCTTAATATGTAGCGAAAAAAAAACCCAATCTGGCAACACAAGCCACCAGTGTCGCACCGCGGCCGCCGCATGCGTCATCAAAACATAAAGCAGCATGTAGTCGACAAAGCATCGAGGAGGCGTCGCATCGTATGATCAGTTTTAAGACAAGGTCGGTGAGGATGGGAAAAATCGTACATTTCTGTGCAAACTTTGCCCGCCGATAAAATAATTTCTGTCTGTGGTTGTATATGGGCTGTGGCAATAATTTAAAGTAACAACAGGTAACTTTTCAACCTTCATAATATATTTCCAAGTCTCTTGTGATGGTACATCGACTTACAATAGGTTGAATGACACGTCTGCCATAGCCTGACGGGGTCTGTAGCGTTTTTAATCGTACTTTTAAACTTCGGGTTTCGGGTAGTAACCGGCGAACAAAGAGAACTACAAAATTCGTCTGCTTTACGGCATATACGTCACTTCCACCACCACCCCCACTTCCTTAAAATCGGACTTGCGAGCCAAATGTTATAGTCATGGCCGAAGCAGCACAGAAAAACAAGAAAGCAAAGGTTTTATCGGAGCAAAGCAAAAAGAGAAAAAGAGAAAGTGATCGCGTTAAAGGCAGAACGAGGATCAACATTGCAGAGCTGCCAACTCTCACGCATTGGCCGTGAGACACCCGCATTTAATTGGTTTCACACGCTCACACGTACGCCACACCCCCGGTTTCTCACGCTAAATTGTCAACCCGGTCGGTCAAATGCCTGAAAGATGAGTTTATCTATAGATCTACCTGTTGAGCCACTCGTGATCGACAAGTTATACCGCAAATTAGTTCAAATCTCCCGGAATCTAGAGCGAGCGCGCACGCGAGACAGAGACTGTGCTCCAACGCGCGCGGACGGCAGAGAGAGAAAGCGAGCGAGAGACCTTGCGTGTGCAGGGAGCATCGAACCCCCCATCGAAAAAAGAATGCCTCTCTCTAACCTCTCTAATTCGCTAGAGTAGTAGCGAATTATCAATCTGGTAGCTAGTAAACGATATTCTAGTTTTTGATGGTTAGCTATCGCTAGTATTCTCGTTCTGATTTGAACTTTGCAATCGATGAAATGCAAATAGCAAATGTTTGACCTAAAAAGTGTAGTCTACTCAACATGTACAAAGAAAGGAGGAAGATTATTAATAAAATCATATTTTAGGATACCTAACATGTCTGTGATATTTGTTTATTTGTCTTGCCTCAAGCTATAATGCAAATCGATTTGTAAAATTTGCAGATTCATTTATGGTAGCTTGATATTATAATATTGACGATATATGGTTATTATCAACCACTCAAACATTGCATTGAAGTATCATATAGATCCAGTAAAACGGTAACCAATAGACTAGGCTACTATAATGACGCTGGCTTGTAAACGTGAGCATCGCGATCATTTGTCGTTAGAAAAAAAATAAAACCCATGAAATTATATTCATATGACATGCTGAAATATATGCCACTGTACCTGGGATGAAGACATTTCACACGTGACGCAAGCAGAACACCTGCATGTGACCTCCTCCTACAGTGTTCAGGGCTATCCTGGTTGTCAACAATTGCACGTGCATGTAGGATGACAGAGTTTACGACAGTAGTAGAGGACAATACTGTTTCCCAACTGTAGGGGGAGCCCGAGAGCAAAAAACTACCTGTTGTTACTTTAAAAAACAAAAATAGCTCGCGGCAACATGGAAAAAAAGAACTATGAACTAGTTCATTTTTTGGAACCGTGAACTTAGTTCAAAATTGTGAAGTATGAACTATGAACTGAACTAGTTCATTTTAAAATTTGTGAACTGAACTTTGAACTAGTTCATGTAGAAAGTGAACTTTCCCAACACTCAACGCTCCAAAGCACCAGCGCACTTGTTCGTCTGTAGCTGTTTCTATGTATATTGTTTTTTTTAAAGTAACAGTTCACTTCACCCAAAAAAAAAACATTCTTATCTTATTTGTTATTATTATTGTTATTAATTTATATTTAAAAAAGATTGATTATTAAAGAGGACCTATTATGCTTTTTCACATTTTCAACTTTCTCTAGTGTGTAATGTTGCTGTTTGAGTATGAAAAAAGTCAGGGGTTCATTTACTTCCTCAAAGTTACAAATCATAAAGTCACTCCAAAGGGAGTTATTCTCTATATCACTAAGCACTGTTTCGGAACTCCTTGAAACGCCTCGACTGTAGTCATGAGTTTTCTTCTGGAAACGTACGTCACAATATTTCCACTTTTCGGAAGGAGGGGTTTCATAGGCTACGTCTGGACTGTCAGTCCAAATTAATTTTTTTGCATATCCTATTGAAATCCTATCAGATTTAACAAGTGTGAAAGGCCAAAAATCACATGAAGTGTTTTGTGAAGATTTTTTTTTTATTTATTTTTTTATTCATTTCAAACTACATTCATATGTTGGTTGAAATCCTATTCAAATTGAATTTCTGGAAATCTGTTTCAGTCGGACTGCTCTGATCGGATTTCGTGTGGTTTATGTGACTTTCTCACACCACGTAAAATGTAAACGTTGTTCTAGAAAACATGCTGACAGTTGCTGTAGAAACAAGGTTGTGTTGTTGCAAAGTACCGGATGAGCAGAAAATGACAATATAACACAGACATGTTTTGAAACAGGCAGAGACGACAGCTTGGAATAAAGCCACGCATACCAGCCTCAGTTTCTGCCGCTGCCTCTGAAGACGCAGTAGTCCAGCGCAGCGGCTACATATTGCCATGTTGTAAATAAGACCACATCTGTATTGCAAACCCCTCCATGTTGCGGTGGTTGTTGTTGTTGTTTTTGGTCTATGCCTACCTACCAATGTAACATCATTGCCATAGAAACCAATGCAGATATTCCGAAAAACAAAAGAGCGGCATTGACACACAAATCGGATCTGAACAGTTGAGATACACAATATGGACGTCAATAATTTTGGATCAGATTCCAATCGATACATAAATAATCGGATTTGGACTGACAGTATGAACGTAGACAAAGAGACAGGATCTATACAGAGTGTTACTGACAGTCTGTGAAGAGAGATGCTGCAACAATATAAAATAATGTGTTATTTGAACATTCAGGCATGAAAGCCGATTTTAGTAGTCCCCAAAAACAAAATCAAGACTTTGTAATGGCATAATATGGAATTTTGAGGTTAACTATCTGTTTAAACTGTCACACTGGTGGAAGAGCAGACAGGAAGACAAAGCACAGAGAGTGAAACCGAGATGGGGGGTCATCTGCATCACAGCCTCACAGACGAGGTGGATCCTGCTGCAATCTCTCTCTCTCTCTGTTTTATTCATCCTCTCCATCAGCTCCTCCATATTCATGAGGAAGAGGCAGTCTGCTGCTGCTCGTATCCACTGGGAGAGGTTATTTTCGTGTCCTGCACTTGCTTACAGAGACGCTTTGCTTTAAGACTACAGACCAGAGTTTGTTTTTACCTGAACACAGGATGAGAGAGAGAGAGAGAGAGAGAGAGCAGGGGAAAACAAGACATGACAGTGCATTTGGTTTTTGGTGTGTTTGGAAAGGATGAATGGAAATCTAACCATTTTTAAGCCTCAGTATGTTTTTCCAAACATCTTATTTGGGGGTCTTTCTATTAAACGGGTTCCTGTTGCATTTCTTGTATTAACATTTCTATACGACAAAGTATGATTGTACAATCTCAAACTAAACTAATTAAAATTAATATTTTGGGTCAGAAGGGAACTTAATGCCCTTTGTAAACTTTGTAACAATAGAAATGTTTTTACTGTCACTTTTGATCAGTGTAATGCATCCTCCCGAATAAAAATATAAATTTCTTTGAATTATTTTTTAAATCTTACTGACCTCAAACTTTGAACAGTAGTGTATTGGCAGTTGTGATCAACATACATTTGGAGTCTGTCTGCTTGCAGTGGTTTCAGAATGAAATTATTATAAAAGTTATTATTTTTTTAATGGGAACACAATGGCTGCTGAGTCAACATTATGACTTTCCTAAAAAATCATTAATCAAAATGACTCTTACTTATTATTTATTAATTTAAAATATAATTCAATTTTATATATATATATACTGTATATACAAATTATTAAAATAATTCGTATGCATTAAGATGTTAGCAAATGCCTTACCCTCCCTCTCTTTTTGTAGGCCCAACACAGTGATGGTGAGCTTTCAGAAAGGAGAGAGTGTTGGACTGAGGTTGGCTGGAGGAAATGATGTGGGAATATTCATAGCAGGAGTGCAGGAGGGCAGTCCGGCTGAAGAGGAAGGTCTCCGCGTAGGGGATCAGATCATGAAGGTACAAAATCAACATTTCCATTGAGATCATGGCTTACTAATGTTCAGATCATTTTAGTGGCCTTCTATTGGCCTTTCTTCACCAATCAGAATATGGCATCATAATTAATAATAACATGGAGTCTTATTTATGGAGTTGTAAGAAAGTGCCAGCCATTGAACACTACTTAAAGGGGATATATTTTACAGTTTGTTTGTTTTCTGAGGTTCACACCATTAGTTGAGGTTTTCTGCATGGACGTTTTGCAACAACTGTAATTTAATTATTTATGACCATTTTCCATGCTCTCTTCAAACCTTAGAATAAAACAAGCTGTTTTTATTACTGTATCTTTAAATCTTGTGAATGTAAATGATATCTCTTATGATTAGCTAACCTTGTTATGCTTATTATATGGTATTTTTCAGAAAAAGCCTAGGGGGATTGGGGAGATAGCTTTATGTATATACATTTTCCAAGATCCTTGTAGGCGAAGAGAATGTGCTTTGAATTTGATTTGCATATGCCACATTTCCTTTTCAACTGAATGTGTGTGTTATCTGTCTCTCCCTAAAGGTGAATAACGTTGACTTTCGGGGCATTGTGCGAGAGGAGGCCGTGCTGTTCCTGCTGGAGATCCCGCGGGGTGAGGTCGTGACCATTTTGGCACAGAATAAAACTGAGGGTGAGAGCAAGAGAAGATGATCCTCGCTCACACCACCACACACATTAAACACAGCAGTATTATTTTAGTGTTATCACAGTTTTATTAATGTTTTGAATTAGTTTTTTTTAAATATTTTTATTTTTCATATTCATTTTAGTTTATTTTTATGTGTATTTATAATTTTATTAGTGTTTTTTTGTTTGTTAATATTGCTATTTAGGTTTAATTTATTTTCATTTCCATTTTGGTTTTCATTATTATTATTAATAATTATAGGCCTGGTTTCACAGACGGGGCTTAGATTAAGCCAGGATTATTAAACCATACATTTCTGTATGTGTGAACAGGCCCTGAAGTGCTCTTTCTTCATTCTTCCCTTCCCCCTATACACATAAAGCCCGTCGAGAGGCCTCGGCTTGTTGCTCATCAGTACAAAACCAGTTGTAGCCAGTTTTTGGCTCTTCCAGGGACTGCCGTGTCAAGTGTGGTCATGCGCACACGTGTACAAACATGCAAAAAGCTTGATTTTCATGTTTGTTCTCTTGCCAGTAATGTGAGGAAGTAAATGAACCCCTGTGTTGAATGTTTATTGGTTCAACCCCAGTAGAGAAACTTTCAGAAAAAAGTCCCAATCCCATCGTAATACGGCGGGACGTCGGCAGTGACCCCTACTGTTGGAACTGACACTACTCTCTCTGCTCTATCTCTCCTTTTCTGCTGTCATGCCATCCTTCCAGCGCATTCACTCCCTGTCTTCATCTCTATTTCTCTCATTCCGCCTCTCCTCGGTGTGGATGTCTCATGGGAAAGCGAGGACTGGCACTGTCAGGGGTTGAAGCTCATTTGGTCTGAGCCGAGTCAGATGTGGTGTCAGAGCTTTAATCAAGAGGGTGACGGCACCACTAGAGGAACTCTGACCGCTGTTCATTTTATCCTTAAATTACACTGAATCACCCATTTAAAAGGAAATTCATTCACAACAGAATTCATTTACAGCATTACTTTTGGAGAGAGTGAGAGATTGGTAGACTGAAAATCACGTTTAATTAATTAATTCATTAATGTATTTTCTATTTTATGTTTATGTATTTTTATTTTTACATAATAATTTGAATTTTATTATTATTTTATACATTTTTATCTATGTATTTATTATATCTATTTATGATTTATCTATTTTTTTATTTATATTTTATTATCTTATTATATATTTTATAGTATGTTTAATTATGTATGTTTTATTTTGACAGAACCTTTTGATTGATTTATTCATTTTTATCTATTTATATTTTGTGTATCTCTTTATTTATATATTATTTGTCCATTTATGTATTTTTTATTTTTATAGAACCTTTTGATTTTTACTTATTTATTTATTGTATTTATTTATATTTCTTATTAATATATTTTTTCATTATTTTTTATTAGTCTCATTCTTCTGATGCATATTGCAATTACTTGCACTTTAAATGAATCCCAAAGCATTGAGTCTGAGGCATGTTTGGGAGCTTATGTCTCTGTGTTGTGTCCTAGTTTATGAAGACATCTTGGTATCCGGTCGAGGGGACTCGTTTTTCATCCGGACCCATTTTGAGTATGAGAAGGAGCTGCCTCAGTGTCTCGCCTTCTCCCGGGGGGAGATCCTCAAGGTGGTGGACACCTTGTACGACGGCAAACTGGGAAACTGGCTGGCCATCCGCTTGGGCAAATTCAACCAGCTGCTGGAGAAGGGCATCATTCCCAACAAGAGCAGGTGAGAACGGAAAAAGATGGACAATATTTGCCTGAGATTAAAAGCTATATATGTCAAACTATGCCTAAGCTAAACAGTGTTTAAGCCTTTAACCCGGAAATAGAGCAAACATTTAATTGAATTATTTTTATTTTTTTGTATATAGGACAAAACCCGATAGCAGACTTTGCACAAATGCACAAATCATTGGTCTATAATGATCTATCTCTCTCTTTTTCTACTCATAACCCTTGCTCCTGTGCCGATCAGAGCGGAGCAGATGGCAAATGTCCAGAACACACATAAGGGCTCAGGAAGTGACAGAGCCGACTTCTGGAGACTACGTGGTCAGAGGGCGGCCAAGAAGAAAGACCTGCGGAAGAGCCGAGAGGAAAATTCTGCTGCTGTCGCCACACGATTCCCTGCCTATGAGAGGGTGGTGCTGAGAGAAGGTGTGTGTGTGTGTGTGTGTAATATTTTAAGTAATTTACTTATCATGGTAAACTTTCTCAATAAGACGACGACTTCTTACACACAACATTAGTCAAATCTCTGAGCTGACCGGCCTAATACCGCTAATGAAAGTCTGTGCAGCTGAGAAAATTTTAATATGTTTGAAAAATGGGCTCATCACTGAGAGAGATTGCTGCCTACACGCTGTTCAAAAAACATGACATAATAAAATCATCATGATTTATTTGGCAGAAGCCCAAATTTGAAAAAGGCTGTTTTGAATCATCAATCAAGGCTCTTCTTTAATCCTCTCTGAACCCTATTTACATAGCTAAAGGAGTGTTTATTACCATTAACCGAAACCATTCTGTACTTTAGTCAGGCTAAAACAGATTACCTCGACTGTGAAATCCTTGTTGTAAACCTTGTGTTCCTCCCATAGCGGGATTCCGAAGGCCGGTTGTGCTGTTTGGACCAATCGCTGATGCTGCCAGTGAAAAACTGGCCTCTGAGCTTCCAGACCAGTTTGTAGTTGCCAGTGAGTTCATGAGACTGTCTCTGTGATACCAATAATGGGATTGTCACACTAGATTTTAAGCATGCAAAATTATTTCAGACACCATAATGAATACTAACAACCTGATATGATGTCATGCTTTGAACTTCTGTTTGGAATAATACTAAATTATTAATTTAAATGACAATACATTTTAAATGTTAAATATAAAATATTATATAAATAAATACATTTCATTATAAAATAATACAAATTTGTATTAATAATTCAACTGAAGTTTTTAAACTTGCACACATGTGAAACTCCAAAATTGAGTTTGATTTATTTTCAGTCTAAGTTTAATTTAGATTGTGTTGATCAAATGTCTTTTTTCTATGAAAAAACTCGATGCATATTCTTGTGTAGCCATTTTTCATGAATAAAAACTTTGTATGCATATGAATGTATAATAAAGTTTGGTGTGACATCAGCTTAAGACTTTAAGCTAAAATGTTAGCGCTTCAGCTACATTTAAATAAAAATAATAATTTGTTGCATTGTACATATTGAGTAAATTATTTGTAGTTTGATTATACTTGTTGTTTTTGTCCAATGGCACATCAGAAACAGAACCCAAAGATGCGGGGTCGGAAAAATCCTCTGGGGTGGTTCGTCTCAACACTATTCGACAGATCATCGAACAGGTAATTGCGTAATCACACAAATTAATAACCAAAACTAGCATTATTTTGTTTCAGTCAGAGTCATTTATATGAATGTACTTTTATGCCTTGTACTGTACATTTAACCTACATTGACCCATTTTGTCATTGATGCAGGACAAGCACGCTCTCCTGGACGTCACTCCTAAAGCTGTGGACACCCTGAACTACACGCAGTGGTACCCCATAGTCATCCTCTTCAGCCCGGACAGCAAACCTGGGGTGAAGGCGATGAGACAGAGAGTCATCCCCAGCTCTAACCGCAGTGCCCGCAAACTCTACGATCAGGCTCTGAAGCTCAGGAAAACCTGCTCACACCTGTTTACCGGTCAGTCCTGGGGGTCCAGACACCTCGTATAAAAAGCTGTCAGTGTTCGCTCACTTGCTCACTTTTTGCTGACTTTCTCTCTGAAAGGTTATTTTGTGGAAATTTACATTTATTTTATTATTCATTTAATTTAATTAAAGATTTTCTTTAGCATTATTTTGCATTGTAGCATTGTGGAGGCGAGATTAGCATGAACAAGCAGATTATAATATAATTCTGTTTAATGTAAATGCTTAAGTACTGAGTTCTGGGGAAGTGCAGTAAAGAGTAGCGATCAAATATTGTGATTGGCACATATCAATGAAAACTGACTTTGACACAGATTCCAGTTCGAAAATCACCAAATGATTGAAAGCAGCTGATGGAAACAGTGAGATAAATAGATCAAGTTGAACCTAGAGACAGTTGACCCAAATCGAAATGTTTTGATTTCCTCTCTCTCTCTCTCTCTCTCTCTCTCTCTCTCTCTCTCCCTCCCCCATCGGACTGTTAGCTGTTATCGATCTGAACTCGGCTAATGATGCCTGGTACGGCAGTTTGAAGGAGACCATACGAGACCAGCAGACCCACGCTGTGTGGGTCTCGGAGGGGAAGGTAAAAACAATGGACGTTATAGTTCTCCATCACCTTCTATCCACTCTGAAACAAAACCTTCTCTTAAAGTCAACATGAAACACTGTTTACAACCTATTTGACTTCTGCCATCTGATGTATTTCTGTGAAACTGTATATACAAAAAGAATAAATGCAGGACATCACTGAAATCATTCAAATTAGAAATGCAGCAATTTGTACTTTTTTTGGAGTGGTCAGTTCTGTTATGCAGTACCACTATTCTATAACTTGTAAAAAGTTTATTCTAATAATAATAATAACAATTACTAAATAATATTATAATTATGTAACACAATAATGTAATGTATACAAATGCAAATACGAATTATAGCTTGTAATAATAAATACATGCTATAATATAATGTTATATAATATACAAAATAGTGTAAAATGATAACTTGTGATAATAATAATAAAATTTTATTGCTATTATATAAAAAAAAGACTGCAAAGGAAAATGCAGAGCTAAAGTTAGAAACAGACTAAATAAGGAAACACCTAAAATATTTCACACCTGCCAAGACAAAAGTAGTTAAACTATTACTAAAAATTCACCACGTTTACTTAATTGTGATATTGAGACAAAAGAAAACCAATGATTTCAATCTAAAGTATTTAAGGGGTCATGAACTGCATTTCATTTTTTTATAATGTTCTCTGAGGTCCACTCATAATGTTATCAAGATTTTTACATAAAAAACATCCTAATTTAGAAGTGATGAGCTATTTTCCATCCTGTTTTCCACCCTCTCTTTCAAACACTTCGTTTTGATGGGCATGCCGTATTCAAGACTTGGATGTTAACGCCCACTGCTATAATTGGGTAACAGTTGTGCATATTAAAATCAGTAAGTACTTATCTTACAGTTATAATTGACAATTTGTGTAAACTGAATTATGAATGAATGTACCATTGTTTGTCACTGTCGTTCTTATACGCTATTCATAGTTCATCTTTTTCGATTAAGTGAAAAACGTATACATTGTCATTTGCAGTCTCGTGTTTTAAATCCAATGAAACGTGTTGTACTGATGACAAAACAGATGATGTCGCTCCCTGAAGCTTTTATTCAGGATTACAGCGAACGGGATCAAAACAATAACAAAAGCAGCGTTCTCTACGTGCTTTTTTCTGTATCCGGGAACCTCCTGCATTAACCGCATAAATGCCAAAGCTAAAGATAAAACAGCAAATCACAACTATTCGGTTTGACTGCGGTGCTACAGTATGAATATTCAGTACATATCATATTCGTGTGTTACGACATTGTTGCTGGAGTAAACCTGTTTGCATCAGTCTCATATTCACTACTACATGACATGTGCGAATCGGTGGGCGGGGCTTAAGAGGCAATGATGTAGAAGTAGGTGTTGATCTTCTTCTGCAGAGGCGGTCTTTCGTCGCACTATGGCGTAATAATGTGACAAAATCCGAAACAAGTCGTTTCAATAAAAGGTACAAAAGGTACTTTTATAGTACAATGACCTCTTATATGTCAACAGATCAAGGGAAGTTGATTTCTCAATTCATGACCCCTTTAAAATAAAAAAATAAAAGTAAAATATAGCTGCGAGCAGCGATTACGGGCCCAAGCCGGTGGCACCGCAACCCCGGTGCCTTTAGTTACCTAAAGGCACCGGGGTGGCGGTACCACCGGCTTTGGCCCTTCATCGCTGCTCGCAGCTATATTTATATATATATATATATATATATAAAGCCGGTGGCACCGCCACCCTGGTGCCTTTAGGGTTATTGTGCACGACGTGCAAAAACGTAACCCTGCTTTGACTGTCGAAAAGAAGTGTGCTGTAGAGCTTGTATCAGTGTGGGCTCTGCAAAAGTGTGCATTGAGGGCACATATCAACCACAAAGTATGCGAGAGCAACCTTCTGAAAGGTCAGGTCTACATCCAGGTCTACATCTGCCGTGTGTTTACATCATAGTAGTGAAGTTTGAAGCAATCAGGTGATTTCAAAGCTTTTTGAAAGTGACAGACTTCCTGCTGCCAGTTGGTGGCGCTATAACCGGGGTGGCGGTGCCGCCGGCTTTGGCCCTTTCATCGCTGCTCGCAGCTATATTTATATATATACACACACAAACACACACACACACACACACACACATATATATATATATATATATATATATATATATATATATATATATATATATATATATATACATAAATATATATATATTGTTTTTTTAAGAGACAAGACAGAATATTACTTGCCTGATCTGATTAGAAAAATAGTGTTGTGTGTGTGTGTGTGTGTGTGTGTGTGTGTGTGTGTGTGTGTGTGTGTTTGTGTGTGTGTGTGTGTGTGTGTGGCGTAATTGAACAATGTAGACATAAAAACATACTCCGTCCTTTTGTTCATACAGGACATTATTCAAACTGCAAAGTGTTTACTTATATTTGTGTACACTTGCAATAAAACACAACATTGTGCTTTTGTCAAGCTATAAACTCTTGTCAAACTGTAAACTACAACTGTCACCCAACCAAAATCTCTTACACACACACACACACACACAGTTTAAAAGCAAAAAATATCAAACAATCCTATTTAAAAACAGTCTGTGGGAGCCATCTTTTGGACATTCATCATATCGCATTGGTTTTCATTTCTTGTCATCAAACAGAGCCCTAATCTGTTTATTTTTTCAGTTACACATTCTACATTGATTAAAAAAGAAAAATCAAATGTGTTTTTATTTTATACAGAAATAAATAATCTATCATTCAGATGAGAATAAAGTTAGTGTTAGTTCAAATTTTAAGGAAAACAAATATATGATCTGAAATATAGCACATTCATTTAAAATTCATTCAGGTTCAATTACCAAACATACAATCTTAATGTAATTTAAAGCAAACAATACATTTAAAATATATGGGTTGTATGACTATTTTTTAATATAAAAAGATATATATCCAAAAAGACAAGGCCTAAAGTTTAACAAGGGTTAAACTCTTATCACTGTAACAGACACAATCACACACACAATCACACACACACACACACACACAAGTCAAATCACTTACATTTTACATGCAATATTGACTTTTTTTCTGTTTCAGCAGCGAAAATAGTTAAACAAAGATCACAGCAGAACCATCGCGCATCTCACAGCAACGCGTTCTCATTACTGAATGATTCAGCATTTTGAACGAATCGGTTGACTCAAAGATTCAATGACCAATCAATCCATAAACATCTATCTCATTCATGAATGACTCAGTCGTTCAAACGAATGAATCAATGACTCGCTCATTAAGACGGTCGCCTGGCGACACCTAATGACGGTTTAGTGTTATGTTTAAAAGTATCATTCTTTCCAACGATTGTTAATTAACTCATATTTGAAACATAAGCTATATTTATATATATACATACATATACACACACATACACAAAAATAAAATAAAAACACATTTGAAACGTGTTTGCTTACTAAATTGTGAGCTGAACGAAAGTTGCAGCAAATATCAGCAACAGGAGTCAAATTTCATTAATCACGAGAGTGAAGAGCTGACTGAAAAGATGATGATGGAAAGGCTATTTTATGTAAAAACGCCTATTTAAGCGAATCTGTCATTGTACTCTTTTATTGTTGTGTTTTCCGTGAAAAATAATAGACTATTGAACTCACAATTCAAGCAATCGGCCCCCGAAATTGCACTAATTTTAGTGACACTAAAAAGTATGCGGCTGCACTGGCATTCATAATGGTGCGCGTCCATGGCGACGAGCGAGCAGAACAGAGCGAACGTTTAGTTAATTTCTACTTCCATAGGAATTCATTCGAGCGCCACCATTTCAATGTCTGTGCGGACGTCCATATTATACTTTCGCTTTCAAGTTAGTGTTTTTAAACCCCCCAGCGGGAGGTTTACACAATTGGTTTACACAATCACACGTTGATTAACCGGTGGGAAAATATTCCCATAGTAACATCCCTAATATATAAATATTTATAAATTCAATAGGCCTACCTGATTTTGAACACAAGAGGGCAGTATAGCACTATATATGATTTGGATTATTATTATTTTTGACTAAACAACCATTCTGGCTGTTTTTAAACTTAAAAATAATTCTTAAATTGAAAAAAAGGAATAAAATGGGTTTAGTTCTAATATTTGTATAATTTTATATAAAAATAAATGGTGTATAATTACATTTTAGAAAGATATGAGACATGCCCTGATTCTTTTTTTGACATTACTTGAATCCCTCAACCATAGCAAAACCGTTTGAGATATTCAATATCTGTTCACAATTTAGCATCTTCAATGTATTTTCATCATGTTGAAAAAGTTTGGCATGAATAAAATAAACTACTTAGGAGGAGTAGCTAAAAACTCAGAATCTGAAATCCACATTCAAACCAAAATATCTGACTTCCTGTTGGTCGTAGCTAATTACGGTAAATTAGAAAGTTGTCCGGCTCGAAGAGTACAATATACATATCGAGTTTTGTTACTGTAGATAAAACTAACCCCCCCACTTTTGTCAAAAGCATTTAGAAAGTGACACACTTCCTGCTGCCAGTTGGTGGCGCTATAACTTTGACTCACAATAGTCACATCCATGTGATCGGCCTCTTACAGCGATCACACTGCTGAAGTTTCATCAAGATCAGTTAATGTATGCAGAAGTTATAACGCACTTCTTGTTTGTTGTTTCTCGCCATAAATTCGTTTCCTCGCCACGGCCAAACCGTTCGAGATATCAAAAATCCCCTCGCAAACTTTCATCCTCAATGTCTTGACTTCATGCTGACCGAGTTTCGTGCCGTTTGTTTGAATTCTCTAGGAGGAGTATTTCACATTCCATTGCGTGTGTTTTACCAACAACCCTAAATAGCCGACTTCCTGTTGGGCTGGGGTAAAAAGTAAGAGTGTGAAGTATATATGAAACGAGGAGATCTACATGTGTACCGAGTTTCATATTATTACATGCAAGCGTGT